TTTTTTTTTTTTTTTTTTTTTTTGAGGCAGCGTCTTGCTAAATCCTGGGCTTGAACTTGTAACCCTGCTGCCTCAGCCTCCCACAATCTACTGGGTTTTATTTTATTCTTACTATTCGGCGATACTGGGGATCGAAGGTGGGGTCTTTACACCGAAGGACGTTTGAGACAAACCCCCCCCCCCCGCCTTGTTTAAACTGCCCAGGCTGGACTTGAACTTGCAGTCCTCCTGTCGCAGCCTTCTGGAGTGCTAATAGTACAGGCATGTGCCACCAATGCTCGGCTTGTTTGTTTTATTTTTTTTATTTTTATTTTTTATTTTATTTTTTGTCTTTTTGAGACAGGGTCTCGCTATGCGGTTCAGGCTGGCCTTGAGCTCACTTTGTAGCCCAGGCTGGTCTCGACCTCAACATTCCTCCTGTCTCAGCCTCCCAAGTGCTGGGATTACAGGCATGCGCCACCATGCCCAGCCTGTTGTTTTAGTAGAAAAAGCAACACAAACTTGTACAGGAAGTACAGGCACCAAATTCAGGACAGCTGTTGTTTTCAGAGGGGGTGAATATAGAGAGGGCTTGAACTGAAATGTTTTTGATGCTGGGGACCTAAACCAGGGCCTGGCGCATGCTCGGCTGGTAGTGTCTACCACTAAGCTACAGCCCCAGCCCTCTTTTATTGTGTGTGGGGGCCAGGGTCTTGCTATGTAGTTTATGCTGGCCTTGAACTCACTGTGTAACCCAGGATGGCCTCAAACTCGAGGCAATCTTTCTGCCCCAGCCTTCCGGGTATTGTTTGTTTGTTTTTTGTTTTTGTTTTTGAGACAGTCTCCGTATGTAGTTCAGGTTGGCCTGGGACTCACTGTGTAACCCAGGCTGGCCGGAAACTCACATTAATCCCCCAGCTTACAGGTGTGCACCACTATGCCCTACCTCTCCTGTAACTCTTATGATTTCATTCTTCATTAAACTTTCTTCGAAAAAAAAAATCTTTAACCTCCTTTAACCCTGTGAAACAACATAAGTTCTCTGGCAACATTTTAAGAGTTCTCTCTGACTTGAGTGATGTTCCCAAGCTGCGTTTGCCTTTTTCTTTTTTTGCACCTACACACCTGCCCACCATTGCTTGAGATTAAATTGTTTTAGTGGAAAATTGATAAGAGACGAGACATTAGAATTCACTTTTTCAGGTTGCAAGAAAATGCCTGCCTTCGTTCTAGGGAAGTAATTCAGTTAGGTTTGGGAAAAACAGTTGTCTCTGTCCTTATTTTACATCGTCTAAAAGCCCAAAATGTTCCTATTTAAAAAATTCTCCCAGTTAGTTTCACAACTTTTACATAGGAGAGCTGGGCTTGTAACCCAGGACTGGCTGACTCCAACAAAAGTCATGTATTTGCTAATTAAGTTGCTCTTGACAGTTCCCCAGCAACCATCTCTGTTTAGTTCCACATCGGGCTTGCTGTTTCACTCTTTGGTGCTCCACTTGCAGCACGTTGCCCTCCCACATTTAAATATTGTCAAAGCTAAACTCCTGGAAGTGGTTGTGTCACTTTGCATGTGGAGCTGGGTCTTGGACTCAGGGCCTTCTCACAGAGCTACATCCCTAGCTCCTCCTCCTTTTTTCCCCTTAAACTCTAAGGCAAAGTCTTGCTAAGTCACAAGTTGCCCAGGCTGAACTTTTCAAAAAGAGTAGGAAAATTTATTCGAGAATAGGAATAGCTCCTGAGAGGCAGGAGGGGTCCCAAATGGGTTGCCAGCCCAGGCCGAACTTGAACTTGCAGTCCCCTGCCTTTGCCTTCCAGAGTGCTGGCATTTACAGGTGTGTCCCACCGTGCCCACCTAAGGTGAAACAAGTGCTTAACTGAAGGGAGTGTTTCACGGACTGATGGCCAACATTTCTCAGTCTGGAAAGCGAAACAACTCTTTATCCGTTTTGACTCTGTAATGATTCTCTGTTTAATAACCACTCTGTGTGAGCATCTTTTATGCCACGGTGTTGGGCGGGAATATGGTATTGTTCTTTGGCTGGAGAATCAGTTGATCCGAGTGTAGGCACTGGAATATAACTACCTCGGCCGGTAAGAAAGGGTGCACAGGTTGGGCATGGTGGCGCACGCCTGTAATCCCAGCCCTCGGGAGGCTGAAGCAGGAGGATTGTTGCAAGTTCGAGGCCAGCCTGGGCTACCAAGTGAGTTCAAGGCCAGCCTGAACTGCATAGCGAGACCCTGTCTCAAAAAGACACACACACACGAAAAAAGAAAGAAAAAGAAAAGAAAAGGAAGGGTGCGCAGTACCAGGGAATGGGGAGGGGCTCTCAAGGGGACCTGGTGACAGCCCGAAGGGGGTGAGCGCCATGTCTGACGTCACTGCGGCGCGCCGCTTCCGGTCCCCCGCGCGGTAGCAAATGATTTCTCTTTCGGTGGGACCGGAGCCGGGCTGGCCCTGACCCTCCAGAGCCCACGATCTCGCCGGGAGCCCGCCAGTGCCAGCGTCCTACACGCGCCCGGGACCATGGCCACTGATTCGTGGGCTCTGGCGGTGGACGAGCAGGAAGCGGCCGCCGAGTCGGTGAGTAGGCTTCACCCGTAGAAGGGGGTGTGGGGGGCTCGTTCCGGCGGGGTCTTGGTCCCTGGGAAGAGACCGTCTGTAAGTTGGCGGGCGCAGGGATGGAAGGGGAGGGGAGCGAGGGGAGGGGAGGGGAGGGATGAGGTCTCGACCGTAAACTGCTTTGTTTATCCAGACACCTCCCGAGTTATATCAGCGCAGGTGGGTGCTCCCTTCCTGTTTTCCTAGAATCCGATTTGAGCGTAGCTTGTAATCAACGACCCTGGAATGTACAGTAATTCCCCTTTTCGGTGTCATTTTCCACCTTCAAATTCAGGGATTCTTGGGCTCAGGGACCTTGCCTTACTCATGTTCTTGTACTTTCTCTAGCTTGCTCTTACATGATGACTGGCTCAGTGGGCCCCGAAGGCAGTACATCTCCGGATACGCTTAGCTTTGTTCTTTTTTTCTAAGCCTGATACATTGTAAACAAGATGTGAGTTAAGTATTACTATGCAGAGTTAATTTTGTCCACCTAAACGTTCTAAATTCTGGTAGGGCTTTGAATCTATTTCAGTTAATGAATACTTCTCCAGAAGTCACAGAATTACCTTTTATAAAATATAAAGTTTATTCTGGCTCACAACTTTATTGTTTATAGTTTGTAAAGTTATGAAAAAGTTATGAAGCCGGTGGTGGTGCAGCCCTGCGTATAGTCACAGCACTTGGGAGGCTGAGGCAGGAGAATTGCTGTGACTTTTGAGGCCAGCCTGGGATACACATTGAGACTCTGTGGGGAAAAAAAAAAAAAGTAAAAAGTTATGAATGTACATGTTTTAAAAGGAAGTAGTTTTTAAAAACAATGATCCCACCATGTGTGATGGCACAGGCCTGTAATCCCAGTACTGAGAAAGCTGAGGCAGGAAGATCATAAGCCTCAACTACATAGCAAGACCCTGTCTCAGAAAACCAAAATTCAAAACAAAACAAAAAAACTAGTGGTTCCTACCTGTTTTCCTTCCCAGAGGCAGCTGTGTCTTCTCTTAAAACTGACTGATTGTATCTATGGTTTGTTCCCTAAACAATGTTCTTATTTTACTATTTGAACTGAGTTTTGGATATTTATTGATTTTTGACTCCTTTTTCCTTCACCATCATACGTTTTTTTAAAGCTATTTTTCATTGTAATATACTTTTAGTTAGATCAATATTGTTTATATTAAATCGTACTTGTGCTGATTCTTATTACTGCGTACCTTTTACTTCTAAAACTTTTCTTGAAATCTTTGCTGTCTTTACTTCATGATTGATTGATTTTTTGTTGTTGTTTGTTTTGTTTTTTGGCACAGGGTCTTGCTATGTAGTTCAGGCTAGCCTTGAATTCAGTACGTAGCCTAGGCTGGCCTTGAACTTGTGATTCTCCTGCCTCACCCTCCTGAGTGCTGGATTTATAGATCACAGCCAGCTCTCCATCTTTCTTAATGTATTACTTTATTTTGGTGCAGCAGTTAGCATTCAGAGGTATATGGGAAACAGAATTTTTAAAAAATAGTGTATACCAAAAAAGAATAGTGTGTACCTAAAAATACTTATTTAAAAAATACTTATTTTGCGTTATTATTTAGATATTAATTTGGCTGAGTACAAAATTATAGATTGTAAATTATTTCCCTCCCAATATTTATTTATATATTAACTCTTTGTTTTGTTTTGTTTTTTGAGACAGGGTCCTTCTACATGTAGTTAAGGCTGGCCTTGAACTTGCAGCTATCCTCCTGCCTCAGCCTCCTGAGTGCTGGGAGTACAGACATGTGCTACCACACGGCTCTCCTCCCAGTTTTTATAGTACTGTTCTGTTGCCTTTTAGATTTTTATTTCATTTTATTTTACTCTATTTTTGAGGCAGGGTCTCCCACTATGTTGCTCAGGCTGGTCTTGAACTCACTGTGTAGCCGAGGCTACTGGAAGTCACAGCAATCCTCCTGCTTTAGCCTCTGGGGTGCTAGGATTACAGGTGGGCACCACAGTGCCTGGCTCTTAGAGTTTTGTATTTGCTGTGGAAATGTATGAGACTATTCTGACCCTTGATGTGACTTTTTTTGCAATTCTAAACTTGGATAATCTTCTGTTTGTCTCCATGACTTGGAAAATTCATAGCTAAGCACAGTTGCATGTGTCTGTAGTCCCAGCTACTCAGGACACTCAAGCAGGAACATCACTTGAGCCCATAAGTTTTGGGGCAGCCTGGGTAAGAGAGAAGTTGTCTCAAAAAAGAAAATTTATGGTAACATATCTTGGTATGGGTCAGTTTTCATCCACTTCCCTATGTACTGAGTAGGTCCCTTCAATCTGGAAAATACAAAGTAGATGTGGCGGGGCACATCTGAAATCTCAGGACACAGAAGGCTGAGGTAGGATCGTGGGTTTGAGGTCAGCCTGGGCAACTTAGTGGAACCTCGTCACTCACAAAAATAAAACATCAACTTGGAAAACTTTTGTCCTTTAGTTCTAGAAAATTTTCTAAAGCAATTTCATTGTTAATTGTGCCCCTTTTTTCTCTTTATTCTCTCTTTTCAGAACTTTTACTAATTGTGAGATTGACTGGTTGGTTGGTTGGTTGGTTGGTTTCTGTGTGCTGGGCATGAGAGCCTCACATGTTAGAGAAATGCCCTAAAGTGAAGGTCCACCTCCACAACTTTTTTTTTTTTTTTTTTTTTTTTTTTGTCTTTTTGAGACAGGGTCTTGCTTTGCAGTTCAGGCTGGCCTTGAGCTCACTTTGTAGCGCAGGCTGGCCTCAAACTCACAGCGATCCTCCTGTCTCAACCTCCCGAGAGCTGGGTTTACAGGCATAAATTACCATGCCTGGCTTGAATGTTTTTTTATGGTTAAATATTAAAATGCTTTATACTTTGTACCTTAACTTACACACCTCAGCCCTGGTACATATTTTGGGCATTAATTATCATCATAGGAATAAGAACTAGCCTCTCTCCTGTAAATACTGCCAGTGAATCAGTCTGTAGTATATGTATCTCCCTTTCCCTCCTTTCCTCTCTCTCCCTTTCTTCCTTATAGAATCTGTTACTTGGGCGTTCAGTGTGAGAACAGAATGGGTTTGGGGAACCTAACATTTCTTGTGGTATGCCCCATCTCTCTCCCTGTCTTCCCTGTCTCCAACCCTGGCAATTGAGCCCAGGGCCCCACACAGCTAGGCAACTACTCTGCCACTGAGGTACTTCTCCAGCCCTCTCTCTTCTAAAAATTCTTGACTTAAACTAGGTCCTTGGGCAAGATGTGGGGAAGCTGCTTTAGCAGAGTAAAATGCATTGACCCTAGGTGTGGTGACACATGCACTCTGGGAAGCTGAGGCTGGAGGGTTACAAGTCCAAGCCCTACCTGGGAGACTTACCAAAACTCTGTCCCAAAATAAAAAGTAATAGGATTGAGGTGCAGCTCAGTGGTAGAGCACTTGCTTAAGCATGAGACCCTGGGTTTAATCCTCAGTACTACAAAATAAGTAAAATAAAAAGAGGATGTAGGTCATTGCAAAGGCCCTGGGTTTAATCCCCAGTACAGATAAATAAATAAATACATACATGTATTGGGCATCTGTTCTATCTCATGCATTGTGCTGAGGGCTTCATAGTTAATAAGACTGTTCTTAATGGGCATGGTGGCACACACGTGCAATCTCAGCACTTGGGAGGCTGAGGCAAGAGAATCGCTGTGAATTTGAGGTCAGCCTAAACTGCATAGTGAGATTGTCTCAAAAAATAAAACAAAAAAGACTGTTCTCTGTTCTTCAGAATTAATGAAGGGTTTTTATGACTTTATGATGATTTCTTTTTTGCCATTTTCCCTTCTGCTTGTCTTTCCAGTAAGTATTCCCTCTATTTCCCTCTACCCCGAATCAGTCCAGGCCAAAACAAGAAACTTCATACCAGTGTCCATGAGTACAAGCGAGGCCCCTGCCTTCCCACTGAACCACCTGTATCAGCCAACTTTCCTGTTGCTGGGACACAGTACCTGAGAGCCACACCTAAGAGAGGACAGTCTAATTTGACTCTCGTCAGAGGTTTTGGCCCAGGATTGCCAGGCTCCAAGTCAGGAACATCATGGCAGAAGGCGGGGAGCAGAGTTGTTCACTTCATGGCAGCCAGGAAGAAGAGCCCCAGAGAAGAGCGCGCGCTAGAGATATACCCTCCAGAGGCAGCACTGAGGCCCTGCTCCCCCAGCTCGGCCCCACCTCCCCACAGTAGCTCCGCTCTGAGCATCCATGTGAACTCCCAGAGCAGTGCAGCACCTCCACGGTCCAGTCACCTCTCTAGGAGTCTCGTAATCTGGTCAAGATGGGGCATGGTAGTGCATACCTGTAATAGAAGCACTCAGAGGGGCTGAGGCAGGAGTATCAAAACTTCAAGCCCAGGCTGGATGACTTACCAAGATCCTGTGCCAAAATAAAGAAATAATGGGTGGAAAGGTAGCTAGGCATGTAGCTCAGTGTGAAGGCCCTGGGATCGGTCCTCAGTACTACAGAAATAAATAATACTTGAAAAATGACTTTTTTATTCCTGTCTCTTCACCTTTCCTCTTTCATTCTTGGACTTGGAAGAAACAGAAATGAGCCTCAAGACATAAAGAATTGGATGGTAGTTTAAAAACTAACCATTTCCCCATGCATGGTGATGCATGCCTCTAATCCCAGCATTTGGAAGGCTGAGGCAGGAAAATTGACACAAGTTCAAAGCCCTCCTGATGTACATGCTGAGATCCTGTCTCCAAAAAAAGAAAAGAAGAAACAACCACTGGTGGTTTTTATTTTTGTTGTTTTGTTTTTGAACTATATACTGAGACTCAAACCTCCCCTCTCAAAATTACAGAATTTATTTTATTTTATTTTTTTATTTATTTTTGTCCTTTTGAGACAGGGTCTCACTATGCAGTTCAGGCGGGCATTGAGCTCACTTTGTAGCCCAGGCTGGTCTCGAACTCACAACGATCCTCCTGCTTCAGCCTCCGGAGTGCTGGGATTACAGGCGTGCGCCACCACGTCCGGCAAAATTACAGAATTAATATGCATGCTTTGCATTAAATCCAAATAGAACTGTCCCTTCTGCTTAAGGTATTTACATTCTAAAGGAAAGATACGTTTGGCTGGAATATACCTAAATTTACAGTGTTTGACAGGGTCTTAGTGATTTTTTCTTTGATCTGCCTCTGCCTTTCTAGCCCCAGCTCAGCCGGGTGGGTATTTTGATGACACAGTGTGCCTTATGCTTTAGGATGTTCCCAGTTAAAATGTGAGACACCCAGCACCAGGCACTTGAACCTAACAGTACCTTATCAGCACACTGCAGTGCTTTGGCTCCAACAGATCCTGCAGCATAACTAAGAGCTCCCCACGGATGCTTTGAGTTTCCTCCTCGGTTCTCTGTCTACAGAGAGGCTGCATTGGCCTCTGTAGAGTTCTTGTTTGAACATGAGAGAATGACAGCGACAAGGATATGCCACTGAATCTTTGTAATTGGAGCATTATAGAAACTCACAAATTATAATTCTTCCTAGAAATTATAATTAGGAAGTATAGATTTTTGAGCTCCTTCTAATCATCTTCTTATCCCTACTGCTATATTTATAGGAAATTTTGTTTATTCTCGTTCAGATATTCAGTAAGCAACTGGATGTGGTGGCATATTCCTGTAATCCTGGCACTTGTGAGACTGAGGCAGGAGGATTACCTTAAGTTTGTGGGCCACCTGGACTACATAGTGAGCAATACAGTGAGATCCTGTCTCAAAAAGAGCTGTACAGTGAGATCCTCTCTCACAGAGCTATACAGCCTGAGCGATACAGTGAGATCCTGTCTCAAAAAGAAAAAAAAATCAGCAAAATGAACCCAACAGAACCACCTAACAGATGAGGCATTGCTAGTGAATACACCTAATAAGTAGATATTAAGAATGGCTCTTTTCTTGCCTACATTCATTAGGGAGGCTCTGTTGGTTCAAAATATTTTAAGTGATTTTCCTGACACTCATCCCTCCCTTTACCATGTTCTTCATTTAGTTGAGCAACTTGCATTTAAAGGAAGAGAAAATCAAACCAGAAGCCAATGGTGAGTAACTAAAAGCTAGTTTGGCAACAAATGTGATTTCCTTTAGTACTATGTTTCTGTTTTAGCATAACAGCTACTTAGGGGAAAATTATATTTGTATTAGACAGGTCTAGCAGATACTGACATTTGATTTGGGAATCGGTGAACTGGATGTTTGACCAAAGTGTATTCTGTTAAGAATGAGGATACCAAAAAAAAAAAGAATGAGGATACCAAAAAGGTTATAAATTATTAGAAGTTTATTACTCATCATAGAGTGCATTGCCAAGGATTATTTGTTGCTTTTTTTAAAAAAAAGTTCTTCAGTTAGGGATTAAATGGATAAGGTATAAACAACCTAATTATTTACCTGTTCTAATTCTGAACTCCTTTGTTGAAAATTTAATGGGATAGGGGCAGTGGCCCAGTGGTGGAGCACTTGCTTAGCATGTGCAAGACCTTAGTCCAGTCCCCAGCACCTCACCAAAAAAAACCTAAATGGGTGGGGAATATAACAGTTACCTTACCCTGAATTTACTTAATCTTTCTCTGGACATTTTTATATGACTACAGTATGTGGCTATATGTTTCTGTTAACCAACATATGTAAAGCATAGACTTTTAATGGCATTATTATGTTCACATATTGAGAGAACATGCTTTGTGCAGGTCCCTTTTTGTCTTTTTGAGACAGGGTTTCACTATGCAGTTCAGGCTGGCCTTAACTCACTTTGTAGCCCAGGCTGGCCTTGAACTCACAGCAATCCTTCCGCCTCAGCCTTCTGAGTGCTGGGGATTATAGGTGTGTGCCACCATGCCTGGCCTGCTCAGATATTCTTGTGTTAACATCAAGGTGGTTTCTGATCATGGCTATTGTAATTATCTTTTTTTTTTTTTCCTTTTTTTGGAACCAGGAATTGAACTCAGGAACTTATGCTTGCCAGGCAGGCACTGTGCCTCTGACCTATGCCTGGCCCTTATCTTTCTGTTACTATTGCAGAAATAGTGATGCAATGAGGGATAAGGGGACCTGGAATTGAATGTAAGCAACAGTGTTTTAAAACTTTATTTAAGGAGGCTGGGCATGGTGGCACATATCTGTAACTCTCACACTCAGGAGGCTGAGGCAGGAGGATTGTCTGCAAGTTCAAGGCCAGCCTGAACTACATAGCAAGACTTTTTCTCAAAAAAACCAAAGCAAAACAAAGAACTCTTTATTTTAGCAGTGGCTTGTTCTCCTCATTTTTTTGGTCTTCAGGCCTTCACATTTCAACAGTCCTTGAATTTGAATTGTCTCCATTGTTGGGTGGGGAATATGATCTTGATTAATGATTTCTTCGTGTCTAATAAAGGTGCTATTGTCAAGACCAATGCTAATGAAGAGAAGACAGATGAAGAAGAGAAAGGTAATACAGCCTTAAAGCTATAAAAATGAGGTCCTATCTTCTAAGAAATGGAGTTGTTATAGGTTTGATTTTTTTTTTTTTTTTTGAACCCAATTTGGCTCTTTTTTAGTCTGGGTTGAAGTGCTAGATTTTCAATTTAAATAATCAAGGTATTCTAATGGTTAACATTTTAGAGAAATTTTACATTGAACTACAGCAGTAACAGGAAGTACTGTCTCCCTGGTTATCTTTTTTTCTTTTTTTTTTTTTTTTCCTCCAGTACCGGGAACCGAACTCATGACCTTGCGCTTGCCAGGCAGGCGCTTTTGCCGCTGAGCTAAATCCCCAGCCCCTCTCACTGGTTATCTTGTGTGGGCATAAAAGAAATTTTAGCTGGGTGTAGGGTGCACACCTGTAGTCCAAGCACTCTGGGAGTCTGAGGCACTATCGTGGCAAGTTCAAGCCCAGGCTGGTCAACTTATGAACTTAGTGAGACCCTGTCTCGAACTAAAATATACAGGAGAGGAGTGGGGATATAGCTCCTTGTGAAGGTCCTGGATTCAATCAATCCCCAGTACTTAAAAAAATTGCAAATGTATCCCCATTATCTAATAAAATTAAGCTCAATGATATTTTCTGTATTTAACATGGATGAAGATTTTTCTTGAGACAAGGTCTTGCTTTGTAGTTTAGGCTGACCGTGAACTCAATGAGTAGCCCAGGGTGGGCTCAAATTCTCAGAGATCCTTCTGCCTCCACCTCCCAAACACTGGAAGTGCTGGGATTACAGGCCTGCGCCACTATACTGGATTGGATGACAAGATGTGAACAACAAATACCTTACCAAGATACAGATTTTATTAATTCCTGGGGATTTCTCTTTATCATTACGTATTTGTTAAGATAATAATCTTAAATTACACTGAATGCAAATTGGGAAGTAAATATTTGGATCCAGACAGGAGGAAAAAATAACCTCAAAAAGTAGGGCTGTTAAAAAAAAAAAAGTACATTTGTTATAATAGAATTCTGAAGACTATGAAGCCAAAAAAGATGTTGTATTATTACATATACTGGGGACTGAAGTCAGGGGCTTTGCACTGAACTACATGTGTAGCCCTTTTTATTTTTCCCAGGCTGGGCTCAAACTTAACTTGAGAGCCTCCTGTCTTAGCCTCTCAGAATGTTGGCCTTATAGACATGTGCACCACACCTGCCTAACCTTCCTCCTTAATGGAATACACTAAGCTAGGCACAGTGCCAATCACTGGGGAAAAAGGGAGGAAAAGCTATTTTATTACATTTATAAATCAAAATGTTAATCTACGTTGAATTAGGAGGCCCAGTAAAATCCATGCTATTACTTGAAATATCAATGACAGCTAAATTCAAAAGAGCTCATAGGAGATTTCATGAACATTTAAAAATTTTTGCCCTTTTTTCTGCAATAGAGGACAGAGCTGCCCAGTCTTTACTCAACAAGCTGATCAGAAGCAACCTCGTCGATAACACAAACCAAGTGGAAGTCCTGCAGCGGGACCCCAGCTCCCCGCTCTACTCAGTGAAGTCTTTTGAGGAGCTCCGCCTGTGAGTATTCACTTTCTGATTCTTCCTTCTGCATCAAGACAGAAATGCTTGCCCTGTCACATTTTTTTATATGGCAGAACATTGTTAGCTAATGTGAGGTTAATAAGTGGACTTAGCTATTTTGGGCTGTCAAAAAAAAGCTTCAGGTAATCTGTAAAGGCTTTTGCTGCATTCACACATTATGTTTAGCTCAGTTATTGTTATGTACAAACTAACACTGAAAAAGAAAAAAAAATCTCTCAGATGTTTTGTGCATTTATTAATCAAAGAGACTGACTTTGATCTTTAATGGTTTTTCTAGAAAACCACAGCTTCTCCAGGGAGTCTATGCCATGGGATTCAATCGTCCATCCAAAATACAAGAGAATGCATTGCCTTTGATGCTTGCTGAACCGTATGTGTCCTGATACAACTCTGTTCCTCTCTATACAACTGTCTGTCTCTCTCCCCTTCCTTCCTCCCTTCCTCCCTTCCTTTTGGAACAGGGTTTCAGTATGTAGTTCAGGCTGCCCTTGAATTCACTGTGTAGCCCAGGCTGGCCTCAAACTCCCAGCAATCCTCCTGCCTCAGCCTCCTGAGTGCTAGGATTACAGGCATGTACTGCCATGCCCGGAATTTTTCTATTTTTAAAAGCTTTTACTTTAGAGTTCCTTTAATTTATTTTGTGTATGTGCATGTGTGTGGTACTGGAGACTGAACTGAGAGCCTTGCACATTCTAGACAAGCACTTTACTGCTGAGCTGCATCCCTAGGCCAAAACTTTTCTTTTATCCTGCCTCATTCTCCTAAGTAGTTGGATTATAGGCATATACCACCATAGCTGTCTGTTCTTTCTTTGTATGAACTAACAACTCCCTGACATGTACGCTTCTCAACAGTCTATTTTCCTGTGCAGTTCACAGAACTTAATCGCCCAGTCTCAGTCTGGTACTGGCAAAACAGCTGCATTTGTGTTGGCCATGCTCAGCCAAGTAGAACCGGCCAACAGATTCCCCCAGGTAAGGGCTTGGTGAATTTGGTTTCTTATTAAGAATTCCATTTGATGGATTTAAAATTTAGGCTTTTACTGCTGTTTCATAAACTGGAGCTGATCGATCTTTTTGGCGATAACAAAAGTCAGATCATTTTGGTGATAACAAAAGTCTTACTCTACTTTTCCATGGTTTGCCAGTTCTGGGCTACTGCTGACAGAAATGACTCTTTCACTTGCAGGAAAAACCTCCATCTGCAGCTTTCATCCATTAGAGAGTTATCACAACTTTCTGAGTAATTGAAAAGTAAGCACATCTCCATTTGGAATTTCAGATCCTTGCTCATGGGAAGCTTTCTGTGTTTCAGTGGCCCATAGTTGTTTTCAAAGGTTTTTACTTAGGCAGAGTTCTGAACTCTAAGGATTTTAGCTTACAGCTCTGCAGCTGAAAGAATCAAATGTTACACACTTTAATTATATATTCTTTCCTTCAGCTGCAGATGGAAAAATGACTAGGTTCTAATGGGAATTACCCTTGGTGAGAGATTTTTGTCTTGAACTCTCATTCTGCAATCTTTCCCTACCAGTGTCTGTGCCTCTCTCCAACATATGAGCTCGCTCTTCAAACAGGAAAAGTGATTGAACAGATGGGTAAATTTTACCCTGAGCTGAAGTTAGCTTATGCTGTTCGAGGCAATAAACGTGAGTATGAGGATGGGATGCTGAACCATCAGTCTACTGATATCATTTCTTATTGGTCTGGAAAACTTCAAAATATACCCAGTACTTAAAGTAGCACAGTAAGCATGAGATCATTATGTATAGCTAAAATATACCAATAAAATCTGATTGAAAAAGTAAAATAAAATAGTACAGTGCAGCCACACATTTGGCATACATCTATAATCTCAGCACTCTTGGGAGGTAGAGGGAGGAGGGTCACAATTTTGAAGCCAACCTGGGCAATTTACCAAGACTGTTTTCAAAATAAAAAAGAGTTGGGGATGTAGCTTGGTGGTAGATGTCCTTGGGTTTAACTGAACACTCTTGGGTTCAGTTACCACAAATAAATAAGCAACTACATTCATACATATATACATACATACATACAAACAAGCCAGGTGTGGCGAAGCACACCTGTAATCTCAGATAACCTCTCTGGGAGGCTGACACAAGAGGATCATAAGTATAAGCCCAGCCTGGGCAATTTAGCAACTTCAGTGAGACTTCATCTCAAAAACTAAAAAAAAATGGCTGGTGGTATAGCTCAGTACCATACACCCACACCAAAAATTTGTTTTTATGTTTGCATTGCTTATATCTTAGTTTTTTGGTTTTTTTTTTTTTGTGGTACCGGAAATTGAACTCAGAACCTCATACTTGCCAGGCAGGTGCTGTGCTGCTGAGCTGCATCCCCAACCACTTATTCTTTATATCTTTACTATATATTTTCATCATTTTTGTCCATGTGTCCTAGGTGCTATCATTATCTTCCCCCATAATAGTAATGCAAGCAAAAATGCTAGCATTAAGATGGTGTGATGTTGCATACCTGTGATCGTAGCACTCTGGGAGTTGGAGCCAGGGAGATTGTGAGTTTGAGCTGACCCTGGCAACTTAGTGACTTAGTGTGACCCTGTCTCAAAGTAGAAATTAAAAAAGGTTTAGGGATGTAGCTCAGTGCAAAGGCCCTAGGTTCAATCCTCAGTACTACCAAAAAAAAGAGAGAGAAAAAAAATTAGCATTAAATACATAGTATCTTAGATGGGAAAGCTGGCTTTGCCTTGGAAACACCCGCAGCAAACATCTCATCTCCACAGTGGAAAGAGGTCAGAAGATCAGCGAGCAGATTGTCATTGGCACCCCTGGGACCGTCCTGGACTGGTGCTCCAAGCTCAAGTTCATTGACCCCAAGAAGATCAAGGTGTTCGTGCTGGATGAAGCCGACGTGATGATAGCTACGCAGGGCCACCAGGATCAGAGCATCCGCATCCAGAGGTAGGCGCTCGGGCCGGGGCCGGGAGGAGCTTCCAGGGCCTGCTCTTGCGTCTGGGGGTCTCTGTCCTCTGGGCCAGCAGCAGCGTTGGTTTGTGGGTCCCTTCTACATCAGCACTGACGGGACTCCCAGCCTGGGCTGTGACAGGAGTCCTGGGACCCGGTACTGCCCTGTGCCTCCTGGGTCTGCCGCTCCTCCCCCACCCGGCTTCTTGGGCCCCTTAGGCCTGGTGTGGTTAGAGCCCATCGGAGCCGGGGGACCGGGCTTCTGCTCCTTGCGGTGACACCCGCAGGATGTCCTCCTTGCAGGATGCTGCCCAGGAACTGCCAGATGCTGCTGTTCTCTGCCACCTTCGAGGACTCTGTGTGGAAGTTTGCCCAGAAAGTGGTCCCAGACCCCAACATCATCAAGCTGAAGCGCGAGGAGGAGACGCTGGACACCATCAAGCAGTACTACGTGCTGTGCAACAACAGAGACGAGAAGTTCCAGGCCTTGTGCAACCTCTATGGGGCCATCACCATCGCTCAGGCCATGATTTTCTGCCATGTGAGTAGCAGCTGGGCCTGCGGGGGCTGCCCATGCCCTCCTCAGTGAGCCCCACTGCCTGCTCAGGAGGGTCAGACTCCACTGTGTGAAAATGAGAGTCATCCCTACCTTCCCTGGCATAATCTTAGGTTGCTGAGTTTAAGGGAAAGATTTTGTGATGAACTAACCCTTCTTTGATCCCACTTCTTAGAAACTGCTTGAGGAAAACAAAAATCTAAATAACCTCCAATGAAATAATTTTTACTCACGCCTGTAATCCCAGCACCCGGGGATGCTGAGGCAGGAGGATCGCTGTGAGTTTGAGACCAGCCTGGGCTGCAAAGTGAGCTCAAGGCCAGCCTGAACTGCATAGCGACATCGTGTCTCAAAAAAACAAAAAAAAAAAACAAAATAAATAAAATAAAATAAAATAAAATGAAATGAAATAATTTTTAAACCTTAAGGTTATGGACTATTTAGCAGTGCAGATCTTTGGGTCAATGTACAATCTTCCAGAGGAAAAAGTAAGAGTTAATTCATCCAAACAAATCATGTAGCTAAAAGTCTGTGAGAAATTTTTTTGAGAAATTTTAATCTTCGTTTGCACAGTGAATTAATCAAAGGCTTGTATTTGAATTGTGATAAGTCAGTTTTGGTGGAGATCTTTGCTTGAGTTTTGTATAGGTCTTCGTTTAAAATAATTCTCTTCACTTCAGACCCGCAAAACAGCCAGTTGGCTGGCAGCAGAGCTCTCGAAAGAAGGCCACCAGGTGGCGCTGCTGAGCGGCGAGATGATGGTGGAGCAGAGGGCCGCCGTGATCGAGCGCTTCCGAGAGGGCAAAGAGAAGGTGCTGGTGACCACCAACGTGTGCGCCCGAGGTGAGCAGAGACGGCCCTGCGCCGCCAGGCTCGGGGTCGCGGGCCCCAGTGGCGAGAGAAGTCTTCGCGTGCCGGACACTGGGGGGCTCTCCATGGAGCACCGGCGACCGCCCTTTCTAGGAGAGCCTGGACTCTGCTCCAGCATAAGGGAAGCCAGGAGCCCCGGCCTGGCGGGAGGAGCTGCTCAGGCTCTGCCTGCTTGGGAAAGGACCTGCTCCCCACGCAGCACCAGCTCCGTGTGTTCCGCTGTCTGCCAGACTTTCTGATTGCCCGGGCTTGTTGCGCCTGCCAGACGGAGCCCGTC